ACATCATCCATCCCAAATTCTAGGAAGCACTGTGGAAAACCACAAAGCACCTATGCAACCTCTCCTTCTTCTCCACTTTACCCCCCACCCCCATCCCCAGGGCGAATTATTGAGTCGTTGGGAAAGTCATGAAGCAGTTTTGCATAGGAAAGCCTAGAAAAATACATCATGATTTTCCCGACCACCTAATAGTATATGGATTACCCACTGGCATTTGCTGGTTCTATGGCAAGGGAAGATGGGGTAAAGGTCACAAAGATCTTACAGTCAGACTGTGTGAGCTGAAACCTCAACGTGTCCACACCCTATGTAGCTGTGGGTGGATTGCCATCACATCCTTGTCTATGAAACAGCCATGGTGACAGTGGTTTCCGTTTCACAGAGCTAGAATGAGGATTAAATGTGGTCACTACAGGGAGGGAAGTTTCCGTGGTACTCAGAGCACAGACTCCATACATATGGGGTATAATTTCATTTACATTTTGTGGACTCTCATTTTACAAGCTCTCACTGACGCCTGTACACCTTCCACAATAGCTCTTTTTATAAGGAACTGGGTCACAAAGAGCTCAGCTGAAGAAACTCTTTAATTACCTCCAATTAATCTTGGAAGATTTTCTGTAGTCCTAACTGGAGCCAGTTAGGTCTTGATAAAGCGACCTTTAAACTTACCATCTATTGACATTTTGCTTGTTGGTCTTTAATCCTTTGTTATATTACCATTCTACTAAGTATTCATCCCAACATAAAGCATTCTATTCATGGTATTTTGTTGTTGTTGTTGAAATGTTTCGATTGTAATAGCAAAATTGAAACTTGGTCAAGTTGACCTCACTGATTCTCATCACTTGAACCATTGTGATGGCTATGACGGATGAAAGGATAAGAATTAGGCCCTTGATTAATTTGGGGAGTGAGAGTCACTAGTTCAACAACACCAGAATGTTATGGTTATTATTTATTAGCTTCTCATAGGGAACATTTGCATCCTGATATGCTTGTCAACTAAAAATTAATAAAAGAATCAAAATAATAACCAGGATAAGCCAACACCCCTGTAAATAGGAGAAAAATAAGAGACTGTGCCTAGAATCGTTCACAGGTGTACGTAGAAGAAGGACCTTGAGGTGCAGCTGGCTGACACTGCCTGGTCCTCGGCATAAATAGACCATGTGGGCCAGTAGGCCCCCAGACAAGGAGTCAGCCAAAGCCTTTGTCTCCACAATGGGCTGAATCCAGAGTCACAGCAGTGACAATAGTTCAGACATGATGCCTACTGTGCCCATCACTCTAAAATTAGAACACACTGCTTAAAGCTGGCAGTCACATTGCCCTAAATCCATTTTTAATTCCAAATAAAATACTCCTAAGAGGTTTCTGTTCTACCACTGCCTACTGTCATGCGTTTAATTGGCAAAATGGATCCATGCCAATCAGCTTTAAATAATACCCCTGGGTTCCTGTAAACTTTTTCACAATTTATGACTCCCTAGTTCCTTGAGATATACTGCCTTAGGAGGGTTCTACATCCTTGGGAATTCTTGGATACTTAAATGGAAGTCCTTTTTATTCAATTACTTTTTTTTAAAATGCGTACAAGTTTAACTCTCTTTCATTAGGGAAGTCCAACACAATGACCATGATCAACACTATTTCTTCAAAATTTGTTGACTAGCACCGTGCAAGGCTTCACAGTCACCCTTCTGAAGAACACTGCCCAACCTAAAGGCTCTGAGGAAGGGGCAGGAGATTGAAAGAGTGAAAGTTTTTGAAAGTCACAAGAAATCATTTCTCTTTTTCGATTAAAATCTTAGACTGCCTTTTTTTTCCCCTATGAGGTTTGATTTCTCTAAATATTGCATAAAGAAATATATAGGTACCAGGGAGTGGACATGAATAACTGATGGTCCTCATTGAGAAACTGCTCTAGCAAAGGTTAATCTGTTGTTGAAAGAACAGAAAGTCTCCCAGCAGTAGGAGAATATTCATTTTCAGCCACCAGCATTCACTGGGCCATTATGCATCTGAGCTGTCAGAGGCTCAGGTAAAACCTGTTCATCCAAATAACTGGCTACCGGATCTAAGCTGTGACCTACTTGAGCCAAGCAAATTACTGGTTAAATGTTCCACAGGCACATGTGCTAGGTAGCTTCAATTTAGCTCAGAGAAGCTTTTGCACCACTACAGGTGTACATGGAGAGGCAGAAGAGATGGGAAGAAAGACAAAAATATCCCAACATATGGATAGGATGGAACTGACAGATGGGGACCATCTTAGTCCTAGAAAGGCAGACTGGGAAAGAAAAAGATGTTTGAACCAAATCCATGGGTGTGGTGTGAAATTGTGCTGTAACTGTTGGATCTTAATACCATGAAACAATTCTCTTTTTATCCTTATTTCTCTGTATCTTTGGGAAAGGTGAAGTAAAAAATATCACAAGCACAAGAGATGATGGAGTATCTGCTCCATCCATTGTTACCCTATAGGAAGCTCTCTAAGGAGCTTGACACTCAATCACATAAAATTCACTGTAAATTCAACCTTCACATTTCACCACTGTCCTCTGCTAAAGAGAGTTGACTTTTTTTCTGGAATTTTAATACCACAATAAAGCGTAATGTATTTATTTATTTTTTTTATTTTTTTTAGAGATTTTCGCTATAGGGCGCATGCGCTCGCCAGACAGACAGAAAGAGACATAGAGACAGAAAGCGAGAAATCAACCCCCAGGGCGGATGGTCACGCCGCAATCCCTTCTCCTCCATTCTCCTCTCGGGATCTTGGGCACGCACGCACACGTGCCCGGCGTGAGTTTCAAGCCACCGGGTCCAGGACGTGAACCACGGTCGACTATATGGGAGTCCAGCGACATAGCCATTACGCTAACTGCTGGTTCCCAAGCATAATGTATTAATCCCTTCATAATAAGACCAAAAACTTAAACAAAAAAACTTGCTGTGTAAAGTCAAAAAGGAGAGACACCTCAGAATGGTGGCTGCTGGATGGGGGAAAAAAGTGTAATACTTGCTAAAACCAAGAAATCTTGGAGATGGGAAGACCAGATTCACAAATTTTTACCTAGTTGACAATGTAGCCAAATACAAACTTGGGGATATCTTCTCAGTACTTTTAACATCTGTGATTGTCAGGCACCAAGACCTCTGGCACAGGAAAGGAGTGAGGATTTTTCCTTGGAGTCATATAATCTTATACAGCTCAAAGAGGGATTATATATCCATTAGGGCACTGGGAAAAGCCATGGCATATTTTTCTGTGTTTTTCTATGTAAAACTGCATCATGACTTTTCTGATGCTTGCTACTTTCATTCATAAAAAGAGATTAAGAGACAAAGGATCTCCAACCACATTGCCAGGAAAGTACCAGAACTATTACAGAAATCCAGGGCCCCAGAGAGTTGAGTCAGTGTCTACCTCCATCCTCATTCCAACTCCCCACATCATTTCATATCAGACAGCAATATGGAGGAAAAATTAAGAGGGACAGGACAGGCAAGCCTGATCACATATCTGTTTGGTATTACTTACTAATACCTAAAAAGACAATGTTTTATTTTGTCTCATTTCAAGGTAAAATGAAAAGAAAATGCTTTTTCCCAAAGGACTTGTTATCTGGGCAATTAAACTAGAGCCATCCTATTCCAGAACTGATTGTGACATTAGCTCCAATGTCGCCACCTTCAGCAATATCGTTTTTTTTTTTTTTTTAAGAGAGATTTTTGTTATAGGGCAGATGTGCTCACCAGAAACACAGACTGAGAAAGTGAGAAATCACACCCCCCCCAGGGGGTATGGCCACACCACAATCCCTTCTCCTTCATTCTCCTCTTGAGATTCTGGCCACATAAGCACATGTACCTGGCATGAATTTTAAGCTGCTGGGTCCAGGCCTCAAACCATGGTCAATTACATGTGAGTTCAGCAATGCAATCAGTATGCATCTGCTGGTCCCTCAGCAATATCTTGAAAAGAGCCGAGAAGTTCCCCAGCAATGATCAGAAGTAACGTGTTCCTCTTATTCAGACTATTTGTAAAACACTTTTGGCCATTGTTGCCCAGGGACTTTACTCATCTTGTCCTTGATGAGCTATGGAGTTACATGCTAGATACAGGCATGCTAAACCAGCTTATCCAGCTGGACACAATATAGCAGGGGCTGCTTCTTGAAGTGGTTGTTTCTAGCGGATAACACAAACCCACACTTATTGAATGACATGGACATCTACAAAAGTAACCGGTAGGAAACAGGATGCCTCCCAGGCAGAGATCAGTAAGAGGGGGCTTTATTATCACTCAATGGTTGGGATCCTCTCTTCTAGAGAAACAATACTACCAAAGAAAGTAAAAATCAACATGGACACACATAATAAGGGTTTCGAGATGACATCTGACTTTTCATGCAATATTTTTACCCTGACCAAAGATTTTTCTCCCCAAGAAACACTGACACCATTAGCCATTTAAAGCATCTGACTCTCTTTGCTTTGGTTCCTTGCATCGCAAACAACCATCAGACAAGCAGAATCTCTCCTACATGTGTGTCCTCAAAGGAATACACTGGGGCGGAGACTTTAGTTAGCCCACCAGATTAAGAGCTGTACTTCTCACTGACCATTCGTGTTCCGGTTTATTGTTTACTACCTGGAGATTTTGATAAGTAAGAAGAAGAAGAGATCAGAGATAGGTTCTTGGTAGACCAGGGCTTGGAAAACTGCAAACCAGAAGTAGAAGGCAGTGGATTCACCATATTTCCACCAGAGAAGACTGTGTTTGGGCAATGAGAGGCTGCCCCATCAGGCTTTGTTGCCATCATGAGATTTGCAACCAGCAAAATTGTCTGCTTGGCAATCTCCACAGTGGTGAGGTACACTTTTCTGTCATAAAACCTGACCACCAGCTCTAAGAAGGCACCATGCAAAGGGGCATTATTGGACACCAACACTACATACCATGCACTGAAAAGAAAAACAAAAAACAGTACCTGTCTCCTTAGATCTCTTGTTTTCTTGGTCATCTTGTCAATGGCAATGTTTAGAGGATCTCCTTTTTCTTTCCTTCCAGTCTATTAAGAAAAGAGAAATAATTTCTGGGTTAGAAATTTCAATGTTAGAGACATTCATTAAAAGCTAAAAATCACTTATGAAAACACCTGAGTTGTAGATTCGGATCAATTTTTTTTTTAAATAAAGAGTTCCTTTATATATATAACCAGTATGATTTGGTTTCTAAGGTTTTTTCCCCCTCAAATAAAAATTACAATGTATAAAAATTAGCACATTCTCTGGATGGTTATACACCTCTCCACATTCAACTCCATGCAAATCTACATTTTCTTTTTTTCCCCCCAGACACTTAGTGATAAATAAACACTATGTTTCATTTTTTTGCCTTCAATTACAAATGTTTTCTGCTTCTGTAGTCTGTAACCACACTTTTGAACAGAAGATAACTGAGATGACAGAAACTAAATAGAAAAGGATTTTAAGTGTATTACCAGAATTCAGAATTTTATACCAATATTTTATAGGCCATATTGTAACCTAGAACTTGAGGTCATGAGGAAAACTTCCCTTATGACTGTAATGGGCATGCAAAACTGAAATATGTAAACATCAGATCTGTAGGCTGGGTTTAATGCAATAAGTCTTTTCTGCAAATCATTTGATTAACCTTTTTCTTTTCCTTTGAACAAATAGCTGATGCATAGCCCTATAAGGTTTTCATTAAAAAGCAAAAACCAGGGTGTGTGTGTATATATATATGTGTGTGTGTGTGTTCATGTGTGTGTACATTTTCAGCCATCTAAAATTATACAAATCCCCATTTTTCTTCCCTGTCCCCTAAACGCATATGGTGACCCTTTCAGGGATCAAGTTTGTTAGTAGAAGGAGCTTAAAATAAAATGAACAATATTTTACAACGATAACGTATCAGGATTGTTTTGCTAGAAAACAAACATGGATGCAGAAGAATGCGCAGCTTTCTCTTTCAAGGGAATGTGGAATGTGAAGGCATAGCACCTGTGACCCCAACACCTGCCTCTCCATATTCAGGAGTGCCTCAAGTTCCTCAGCCCGAGGCTCTTCCTTGTCTTTTTGGTTTTCTCCTTACAAAAGGACGTGTGTCATCAAAATATGGGGCACTTCTGTGGAAGTCTGGGTCATGATCATTCTCAGAATTACAAATTTCTTTACATCCTTTCCATTTATTCAAGTAATAAGAAATGTACTTTTAAAAAGTTTAAAACTAAGTTTGGTTTAAAATGTGGATATAACAAAAGGACATTGAATCACTGAAGTCTTTAATGTTAAAAAAAAAATTGAAGGGGGCTAGGAATGGTACTCCCATTACTACAAGAGTAACGCACACCTATACAGGAAGGCTGAAAGCATTGTTCGAGTCTGGACCTGGCGGGAGAACATGCTGGGCACGTGTGCATGTGTGCCCAGAATCCCCAAAGAATGAAGAGAGAGAGGAAGAGGGTTTGTGGCATCACCCATTCCCCATGAGGGATGCTTTCTCCTCTCCCTTGCTCTCTTTCTCTGTCTTTCTCTAGTAAGCACACATGCCCCCTAGCAAAAAAAGAAAGGAAAGAAAGGGGCTAGGTTCACATTTGGGACCTCCCTGAGCACACAGAATCTGCATTTGCACATGTGCCTACGATCTGGACTGGCAGAGGCTGCAGGTGGGGAATGGGGCCTGAAGACCACGTTAGAGGTGCTTGTCTTTCTCTCTCTTAAGAAATAACTGAATAACCTTTGAAAAAGTTCAAGTCAGGGACCAGCAGATGATATAATGGTTACATCACTGGACTCCCGTGTAGTCAATTGGTTTGATTCCCAGGAAGCTGGCGACTTAAAACTCACGCTGGGCACATATGCGTGTTTGCCCAAAATCCCGAGAGGAGACTAGAGAAGAAGGGATAGCTACATGATCATTTCTCCTGGGGGGTGATTTCTCACTTTCTGTCTCTTTGTCTCTCTGGAGAGCACAAATTCCTTATAGCAAAAATCTCTCTGGGGAAAAAAAAAAGTACAAGATAATTTGGCTACACAAATTAATTACTAAGTGGTTACTAGGGCCTGAGGCTGGGTTCATTTCATCTTGTCAGTGACATCTTTGTCACCATTTACAAACGAGAAATGCAGGATTGCAACAGGCCTAGAGTTGGAGGAAGGGGAGTGAGACATTTGTAATATTTAAGAGGAGAACTCCATAATCAAAATAAACGACATTTTAATGGAATATTTTTAAAAATCAAAATTAATGCAAAAAAAACATATTGAACAAAATATCAAAATCTTAAACACAGAATCCAGCAGAGCTGGGATTAGAGAGAGGAGAGTGAGATGAACTGTGTTAGTGTAGCATCAAATGGCATTTTTAGACTCTAAACTTTAAAATTTGGAGGGTATATTTATACTAAAAGAAAGCATTATTTATCTGAAATTAAGTTCGAATGTACTGTATTTTTTTTTTTATTCAGAGAACAATTTTTGCTATAGGGCACGTATGCTTGACAGAGAGACAGAAAGTGAGAAATAGCTCCCCAGAGAGGTGGCCACGCCACAATCCCTTCTCCTCCATCTCCTCCCAGGATTTTGGGCACATATGCACACATGCTGGACATGAGTTTAAGTTGTGGGGTCTGGGACTTGAACCTCAATCAACTACATGGGAGTACAGCAACATAACCATTATGCCATATGCTGGCCCTATGAGTGTCTTGTATTTTTATGTGCTAAATCTGGCAAGCCTGCCCCCAAGGGTAGGGGCAATGCTTCAGACTGTAACTGGGGTTGTTATGGAAACGGGAGGGAGTCAGCACGGTTCCATTCTGTGAGAAGAGTAACACAAGGATTTGGTGTCCTTCTGGCATGGATAATCTGCAACTGTAATCTATACACCCTTAGCTGTGAGGCATCATGTTGGACACTGAGGGGGAGCACATGGATAGTGAGGGTTCTGGTTCTGTCTAGAAGCTTCTAACACAGGTGAGCCAACCAGAGCAATAATAACAGCTGTGCAGAGACCAGCACTCTGAAGGGCTGAACTGCTCAGAAGAGGGAAAAGGTGTTGCATTTGGGAAGAAGCCAAGTGATCTCACACGGGGAAGGAAAATCTGACTGGACCCTAAGCCCTGGGTAAGATTGGAACAGGAAGAAGAGAAGTACCTTGGGAACCAGCAGTTAGCGTAATGGCTATGTCGCTGGACTCCCATGTAGTTGACCGCAGTTCGCGTCCCGGACCTGGTGGCTTAAAACTCACGCCGGGCACGTGTGCATGCGTGCCCAAGATCCCGAGAGGAGAATGGAGGAGAAGGGATTGCTGTGTGACCAACCCCCTGGGGGGTGATTTCTCGCTTTCTGTCTCTATGTCTCTCTCTGTCTGTCCGGCGAGCGTACGTGCCCTTTAGCAAAAATCTCTCCAAAAAAAAAAAAAGAAGTACCTTGAGTGGCAAAAAGAAAGCCCCATGTTTATTGCAGCACTATTCACGATAGCCAAGATATGGAATCAACCTGAGTTCATCAACAACAGATGTATGAATAAAGAAAACGTGGTATTATGTACATGATGGAATACGATTCAACCATAGAAAAGCATGAAATTCTGTCATTCATAGCAGCATTAATGAGTCTGGAGGACATTATATTAAGTGAAGTAGAAGCCAGGCACAGAAGGACATCTACCATATCTTTTTAACCACATGTAGGAGATAAAGAATTGGATTTTCTAGAAGCAGAGAGTATAATAGTGTTTACCAGAAGCTGGGAAAAGTAGAGGGTGGGGGTGGGTAGGATAGGGTGGCATTGGCTAAGGGATACAAAATTACAGTTAGAGGGGAAGAACAGATTGAAAGTTTCTATAGCACTGTAGTTAATGATATATGTACACCTCAAGATAACTCTAAGAGAGGAATTTAAATGCTCTCAACACACACACACATACACGCAAACCAAAAAAATATTTCAGGTGCTAGATATGCTAATTACCCTACTTTGATCAATACACATTATATTCATGTATTTTAAAAATCACACCATACCCAATAAATACGTATAATTACTAAGGGTCAATCTATTTTTTTAAAAAAAAGGCATCAAGACAAGAAAACGATGTTGGGATACAGAAGGACAGAGAATGAAATGGTCCAGTCTTTTCCCCATATATTAACAGATCAGTTTAACTAGCTATAGAGATGAATTATCTTCCTAAGAGTTTTTTTATAAAAAAAAAAAAATACTGTGATTACCACTGATTATGTTTGGATCTGCAAGCCCAGGGAGTCTCTAATGACTCTAGTATCTCATGTTCTTGCTGTTGAACATTTGTGGGCTTCATACTTGTGATCCTGAATTTTTCCACCTTTCAAGTCTTTGGCTGAAGGCAATTCAGAAATGCAATTGACTTGGGTGCCATATCTGTTGTCACTCTTTGGGGAGGCTGGAGATTATTAATGGAAAGGCCAGAATTTAGGAATTGGGAGTACTAGCCAAAACAGTCAATTTACTGACCCTTTGTTAGCCCCAATACATTTCCTTTTTTAATTTCCAGAGGATGTGTGCACTTGCCAGAAAGAGACAAAAAGAGAGAGAGGGGAAGGGAAAATGCTGGACTGTTGGAAAGTTATGACATATTTTTCTATGTTTCTCAAAGGTCATTTATTTAAAGAACAAAGATCAATCAATGATATTTTGCCTGTTTTGTTCGATAACCTTTTGCCATCTTTCAGTGAGCTTCATAATTCCTTGTTCATAAAAGGACCTATCGTTAGAGGTGAAAAACTGAACAAGGTGCTGAATTATAGTCTCATCTAAACTGAATGATATACCATGCAAGGAGTTTTGAAAACAGCAAACCAAGAGAATTCTGATGGCGCAAGGTCAGGTGAGTATGGTGGGTGTGGCAACACATCCCATCCAAGCTCCAATCATTTTTGACAGGTGATCAAACTTGAGTGTGGTCTTGCATTGTGATGGAACACAACTCCTTTACGATCAACAAGCTCAAGACGTTTCTGGAGGATGGATTTGTTCAAACTGTCCAATTGCCAACAGAACA